CCCCGAGGTACTATTTAATTAATACCGGTACTTTTTAAAAAAGACCGGGGGTACTGTATGCAGCGCTGTACGGTATACATTAAGTTTATAAATTCTAAATTATTGTCATAAAATTTTATCTAGCATTCTAAAAATATATTGTTGAATGACGGTAAAGCAATGATTTCGGACTTTGGGATAGCAAAACAATTGAATGATATTTCTGCATCTTTAAGCTCTGAATTAACAGGCATGGCTGCATATATTGATCCACAACTCTTTTGTCAAAATGCTAAGCCTGAAAAGAAATCTGATATTTACAGTCTAGGTGTATTACTTTGGGAACTTACTAGTGGAGTTCCTCCATTCAACAGTCTTTCTACACTAGCTATAGTATTAGAAATTTCAAGTAATAAACGAGAAAAAATTATTGCTAATACGCCACAAGATTTTGTTGACCTTTACTTGAGTTGTTGGGCATCTGATCCAGCCCGGCGTCCATCAATAGATAAAATTTCGAATATGCTTAACAGACTATTTACAGAAGCGTCCGTCAAATTTATTGAAAATAACGTTATAACATTCAAAAAAACGGAAATTTATCGTTAGTACATATTATAATAAATCTAAAAAAGACTATCAAACTTCTATTAATATAATTTATTTTAGCGTTAGTTGATAAAATTATCAAAGAATATGAAATCGATCTTTATAATTACAATGAATTTGAAATTTTCGAAAAATTCGACAATATGGAAAAAGCATGTTGGAAAACCCATGATTTAATGGTTGCTTTAAATTATTTAGATGAAAAAATTATGTTTGCTTTAAATAGTACTGATGAAAAAAATGTGCGAGAAATTATAAAAGAGGTTTGTGATAAAATATAAATATATTTTTTATCGACTACATTAATTAACCTTTATTTATTATAGATTCATTTACTAGCCAAGATTGCAAAAGACCCACATCCTAATATCAACCAATTCTATGGAATAGCAAAAAATCATAACAATGGTCATTATTATCTAATCCTACAATATGCAAATAATGGAAATTTACGAGAATTTTTAGCAAATAATTTTATCAATCCTAAATGGAAAGAAAAATTGCACATAACGTTACAAATCGCAACGGGCCTTATGTATTTACATACGAATGAAATTATTTATAAAAATTTTGTAAGAATTGCATTTAATTTATTTAATTTAAAGTATTTGGAATTTTTACGTAAATAATTTTACAATTTAAATAATTTAAATTATATTCTATATACACGTGTAGAATTACAAGAATATCTTTGTCGATAATAGTAAAGTGATTTTGGTTGGTTTTGGCATAACCGATCAAACAAATATGACATGTCTATCCGTTTATATGGAACCGCAATACCTTAAAAATAATGGATATAAGTGTAATGAAAAATCCAATATCTACGGTCTTGGATTTCTTCTTTGGGAAATTTCAAGCGGTTTTCCACCCTTTCATAATAACGGCGAAACTGAGTTCATTTGTAAAATAGCACAAGGTGAACGGGAAATACCTATGAAAGACACGCCGGTACCATACGTCGAATTATATAAACGTTGTTGGGATGATAACCCTGATAACCGTCCAGATATCCGGGAAGTATATGAAATTATCAAACTAATGTTTGAAAAGGTTGCTTAAGGATCGATTTGGTTGAAGTCTATTAAATTCATAAAATAGATCTAAATAATGTTAACAGAGAAAAATTCTCTTAATTCATTATATTTTATGAGATGCTATAGCTGTGATGTAATTATTATATTATGATAAATTATATTTCGTACTGTACGTTTAAGCATTTAAAATGTATCAACATCTTTATTAAAAATAATTATATGGCAAGGTGAAACCTGGGGCTAGGCAGTTAGCTACGTTTTTTATTATGTAGAAGCAGATTTCACCCCGCGGATTTTATAACCGCCTAGCGTTTCTCATATGGGCGGATTCGGAAAATGATCTATATGCATATTTTGAAATGTAAATGTTATGCCTCAAATGTAAAATTGTCTCTAATATTAATTGGCCTAAATTATCAACCTAAATAAATTATTTTTAGCTAGCGCTAGGTATTTAGGTAAAATTTAGCAAATGACATCTGGGCTATCCCAATTGACAATTGTTAAATTTACCTAGCTGACCAATTAGATTTATCTTTTTTTTTTTTTTTAATATTTTAAGCGATCTTGCCTGTTATTTATTAAGAGAATGCTAAAAAAAAGCTAAAAACAATCTAATATACAAATATACTAATTTGTTCTTCCTACACTATTCCAAACTAACTTACTGCCTCAAGGGTGTTCATGTTCGATTTGCTACAGAGGCTATTTCTCTCATAAAAATTTTAATCTATCTAAACAGATTCTCAAAGTTTGAACAACAAAGGTGATTTCTAGCTATATATCAAGATCCTAGGTCTCTCTCTACTTAGTTAAAACTAAGTAGAAAGAAATTAGTATATAGTTTCAAGATATAAAAAAGATAAAAATTGTATAAACTTAAGTAGTCACAGTCTATAATTAAATCTATATTAGAAAAAACCTGTTATAGATGAAGAAAACTAATATAAAACAAAAACAAATAAAGAAAAAAAACAAAATGAAACAAAATGAAATATTGCTTTTTGACCTGAACTAGGTATAAAAATATTATGTTTAAACAACATGAACATATCTCTTGAATTCTCTGTCCAATATCTATTTCTAGTATCTTTTATTTCTATATTTATGCTATTTTATCTAGAACTTTCTAAAATCTAATACATGTAATAAAACAAAATATAGCTATATATTTGCTTGTTACATAGTTGTTATTATTAGAGTTTTCTAAAATAGTAGTAAATATTATCAATTGTTTGAAGAGGAGAAACTGATTTTTTTATTTTTTGAAAAAAAGGATGATCAAAGAGGAGCAGAGTATATAGTTTTTGAACTATCTTGTAATAGAGAGTGTATTAATATCTAATCTAGCTCAGATATTATAAGGTATTTGCTGAGTATTTTCTAACTTTCAAAAAATAAATACAGTAATATATTTCTTTGAAAATATCTTCTGGTTACTCCTTGTCAGAACCAAGTTATATTGTTTATAGTTTTTAGTAAATAAGTACTACTAAGTTCTTGAAACTCATTTTGCATTATTTTTTCTATTAGTATTGCTATATATTTGTTTCAATATTAGCTCTATTATTGTTTTTAAAATAAAAAGTTTACAAGATCTAGTATCTAGTATAGTAGTTAGGTTGTCAGACTGCTATGCAATAGGTCTAGAGTTCAAATTCCACTGTTAATAAATTTGAATAATTTCTTAGACCTTGTGATATGTTATAGTAAATCCTGTTTGTTTCTGAGAATATAACTCTAAAAATTGAGTTATACCAAATCGATCAAAACTTAGAAGTATAGCATAATATTACATAAATAAATCTTAATAGAATATATAAGCAAGGAATCTGCATAGTAAAAATCCTGAGTCAATGAAGAAGTATAGTCTTCTAATAGAATTATATTAGCTAAAGTCTGATTTAAGAAGAAAACTCAGTCTAATAAAAATAGAAGGTTTTGAGGTCTCTAGACAAAAAGTAACTAGAACTAGCTAGATACTAGAAAAAAACTAGGTTGACTAACTAGTGAAAGACTACAGTAGAATTTGTAGTTGTATGAATATCTACAAGAGTTTAAGCTAAGTGAATCTGTAAAATGAATACAGATCACTCTAGTAGATTTGCTTCAAGTTTAACTAGCTTTGCAATACTAGTAATATGTCTGATATAATATATTCTGAGAGGACTTAAGCTTTCTGAATAAATAGATCTGTAATGAGCTAGCTGGCTTAAGTAGTTAGGTGTTGCAGTAACATTAAATTAGATCTATATAAGTTAATAAACAAAGTGTTTAAATAGCTAACTCATATAGATCATTTAAAAAAATAATATAAAACACCAAAAATCATTTTATACAAAATATTATTATAATAATTGATTTCTGTGTACTAATAAAAAAGATGTATTTTGCAAAAATAATACTAGTTTTATAAGACTACTTTATATTTTTTTCTAAGAAAATTCAAGTTATTATCAATTTTTATTTTCATGAATTTTTTTTTTAAAAAAAAGAATTAATCTGATACAAAAAATTAATAGTAATTTTTCTATTTTTTAAACTAATACAAAAATTATAATCAGATAAATATTTATCTAATCTAATACAAAAAAAATCTAAACTAACACAAAAAAATTACTATGAGTTAATTAGTGGATAAACTATTTATCCAAACTAACACAAATTTAATTAGGCAAGCAAGTACATGTATATAAAAAACTTTTTTTTTTTAGGTCTTATGACTTTTATTTATCATATGATTGATTATGAGTAATTTTTTTATTATAATATATATTGTTAGGTTGGTTTGATTTCTTTAGCAAGACCAACTAACTAGAGAGACTAATAACAATGAATACTTTGTATAACATCCCTTGTTACTGTATTTTGTCAAAGTCTTTAGAGCATTTTTGTAAAACTTAACAAAGAAGATTTAAGGTAATTTACAATTATGAAAGAAGCAACAATTAAAGATATATGAAGATATCAATAAATGTTTATTTCAAAGTATCAGAAAGTTACT